AAAGTGGACAATGATAGCCAACTTAGGCACAACAAATTAGAAGCAGTAGTAGATCTACTGATATTTCTTGAAAAAGAAAACACTTTAAAATGATGAATATAATAATTTGCTAAAAGAACAATTCAGAACAAGGAATCTTACAAGAAAACATCTATGAAGGCTCAAAATTAATCGAAGAGAAAGAGATTGTAGTGTACCGTTAGAAAACACAAGAAATTGAAGAAAAGTAGACGTTGATAGCAAACTTAGGCATAGCAAAATAGAAGTAGTAGTAGACCTACGGATATTTCCTAAAAAGGAAAACACTTTGAAATGATGAATCTAATGATTTATTAAAAAGAACTATTCAAAATGACAAATCTTACAAGAAAACATCTATAAAGGCTCAAGATTGAAGAGGTAGAGATGGTAGTGTACCTATAGAAAACACAGAAATTGAAGAAGAGTGTACACCAATACCCAAAAATTAGACACAACAAATAAGAAGTAATAGTAGATTTACGAATATTTTCCTGAAAAAGAAAACAATTTGAAATGATGAATCTAATAATTTGCTAAAAGAACAATTCAAAACGAGGAATCTTACAAGAAACATCAATAAAGGCTCAAGACTGAAGAGGTTGAGATAGTAGTATACCTGTAGAAAACACAAGCAATTGAAGAAAGTAGACACTGATAATTAACCAACTTAGGCCAAGAAGCAGATCCACTCGATTGCAAGCCTGATACGTTCTAGCGCAAGACCTGGGCCGGCTAAGGAAAACAGAGAAGTTTAAGAAGGAAACTGTTGGATATTTGTTGGAAGTTGCCTAGCAAATGCTTGAGAGATGAATATGCAAGGTGATGCTTACCATGAAGAATTGTGAAAGGAAGACAGTTGTCTGTACCTTATCATGAAAATTTTTATTCAACTAAAAAAATGAAGCAGGAGCATAGAAGGCCTTTTCAATTATTAGTTTTAAGATTGTTTGTTTTTGCGTTGAGTCTTTGAGTTTTATTTGGAGTTTTAATTTTATTTTAATTAAGTTTAGCCTGTGAATTTTAATTAAGACCAAAATTAATAAGTTATTAGAAGTTTAAGTTAGAATTAAAATAAGATTTTTGGCTATTGTTAGTAGTATATATATTTCCTCTGTTCAAATTTTAGTTAGCTTAATTTTTTCTCCAATAAAATAGGGATCAATGTGATAATTAATTCTTAAAATTTCAAAAATATTCTTAATTAATCATTTTTTAAACAAACATTTTTTTTTTGTGACTTATTGTATATACTGCAATTATCTTATTAAAATAAAGTAAAAGTAAAAATAAAAATAAACATATTTAATAACATGTTAAAAAAATAATTTTAAACAAGTTGAATTATAAATAAGTTAGAGGATAAATGATAAAAGCTAATATGTTTAAGCAATCATAAAATAGGATTTTGTTAGAGATTAAGGGGAATAGAAAGGAGGAGAAAATTTTTCTTTATTTGATTATAAAAAAAAATGGAAGTGAAGGGAGGGTAAATTTTTTTTATTTTATTCTTTTTTTAATCTATTTGCTTATTCAAATGAAACAAAGGGAGGAGAGGATAATAGAGAGAAATGGAAGGATAAAATTCCCCTTTCCTCTTCTCCATTCCTTTCAATTTAAACATATAATTAAAGATCTTAAGAAAATTCTAATTTAGAAAAATTAATACTACCTCTATACTAACTTAACTACTTTTGTAAATGGTTTGACTACTTCTTGTACTCAAAGAATAATATCTTTTTATTTTTTAAAAAAAAAAAACATAATGGTTATTTTTTATTTTTTAATTTAAAAAATTAAAAACAACCTATGTATTTACTTATATTACTCATAAAAAACAAAAAAATAAAAAAAAATTTATGATAAGATAATTAATTAAAACAAATAAATAATTATAAGATTAATATAAAAAAATTATTTATTTATTTTAAAATATAAAAATAATAATTAATTTAAAATAAATTTAAAATAAAAAATAACAATTATTTTGGGTAAGGAAGATATTCAAAAAGACCAATATGAAGATCCAAATGGGATCTTAGTCTATCGTAGAAAATGATGCAAAGATAAAGAAAGACTTAGTAGAAGACTACACCCATCAAACAAAACAGCCAAGAAAACTAAATTATATGGAAAGTAGAGGCAACTTTTTCTTCTGTTCACATTTGCCAGGAAAGGCTTAGTGGAAGACTACACCAGTCAAACAAAACAGCCAAGAAAACCATATTTATATGGAAAGTAAAGGTAACTTTGTCTTTTGTTCACATTTACCAGGAAAGGCTTAGTGGAAGACTACACCAGTCAAACAAAACAGCCAAGAAAACTATATTTGTAGGCAACTTTTTCTTCTTTTCACATTTACCAGCACCATTGATGGAAAAGCCACTGGAAAGTAAAGGCAAAGTCAACATGAAATGATGCATAAAGTGAGAAGAGATAAGAAGGAGAAGGATAAATGTTAACTTTAGTTTTTAAAATTTTAAGTTTCTATATAATTTTTGTTTTTTATTATATATATATATATATTATCTTTTAATTAGAAAAAATATATTTTTAATTTTTTTATTAATTAATATAAAAAATATAAATTTTTTTAAATATATATTTTTAATCTCTTAATTTATAATAAATGTTTATTTTTTATCCTTTTAATTTAATTATTGGGTTTGGTACGTGGCCAAGGTCCACCCTAGGGGTGATGCTAAAGTCCTTATAGCTTTTCATTTTTTCCAATTTTAGATTCAATAATTTTTCATTTTTATTTATTAAACTCTGTGGCTTATTTCTTAAATCATTGGCCAGGACAAAGGGAAAAAGACAAAAGGAAAGAAAAAAGAAAACGAGGACAATAGATGAGTAGAAAATGGCATTATTAGGGCTCCATCCCCTTTTAGGGTTTGACATTATTGGCCAAGACAAAGGGCTAAGAAGGGACCCAGGCGTTCCCTTAAACCTTCAAAAAAGTTTAGATTTTTAATTTTTTTTAATTTTAACTATTTTCATCCTTATGCTTTTTAGTTTATCGTTTCAGTTCTACTCTGATTTGTTTATGCATTAGATTTTTTTGATTTCTTTTTTTATCGAAACGATGTTATTTTGGATGCTCCGGCCCTTTAGACGACAAGTGTGTTTTTATTATTTGGTTATTTTATTATGTGGATATAATTTTTATTCTCTGTCTATATATGATAGCAATTTTTGATTTAAAATTAAAAAAATCAAATTTTTTTTACGTTAAAAATGCCTTTAGCAAGCCTTGGAACTTTTCCAGTAGTTGTGCTTTTGTTCGATATTTGGTGTTGCTTTATTGTTTCTATTTTGTTTAAAGCTGGTATGGAACTCTAACCTTTCTATTAATATAATAGGTACATTCTGTTGGCCTAAAAAAAAAAAAAACAAATGGACTCCAAGTTGCCCAAAAAAATAAACAGAAAACAAAAATCAAAACAAATAGACTCCAGTTACAAGGACTAATAAATTTTAATTTTAATTTTAATTGTTGGGAATAATAATTTTGAATTGAATATTAATTAGTATATATTTTAATTCAATACGTTATATTACACAATATATTTATTAAAAAATTATTATTTTATAAGATAAAATTAAAAATAGATAAATTTAAAAATACAATCATATATATAATATATAAACTAATTAAATTAATTATGTTTATATTATATTTTAATAATTAAACTAAAATAAATAAATAAATAAACCGTTAAACCAAATGTGCGTGTCATTTTCCTTTCGAATTTGATTTGAATTTATGTTATTGGTAGAATTAAGTTGGAACTTAGTATGCGGTTTTGTCTTTCTATAATCCTTCAAAAGAAAAGGAAGAAAATAGCCAGTCCATTTACTAGCTCTGAACTACAAAAGGAGAAAATTAATTCAATTCATCCATGCAAGAATCTCCATTTTTTTTTTTTTTACTAGTTGTAAAGAAATAAAGGGCAGGGTGAAACCATCTAGGGCAAGAGCTGAGCACATGACCTACTTTTGCGTTGAAAAATATTAAAAAAATAAAAATTTACGCCTAACCATTTGAAATTCTCACTTGCTTCTCATGTATTGAAGAGGAGTCTCCTTTAGAATTTCTAAATTAAAGTTTTTTTTTTTTTTTATTTTGAGTTGTACAATAAAAAAAATTATCTTTTAATTACTTTATCTATATATCATATAACTTAAATTTATAATTTTTTATTTTTATTAAAAAAATTATTACTAAATTATTTTAGTTATTGACTTCTTATATCATATAACTTAAATTTATAATTTTTTATTTTTATTAAAAAAATTATTACTAAATTATTTTAGTTATTGACTTCTAAATTAAAGTTAAATAAAATAATATAGACAGTTATAATACCGACTTATGGAGAGGTTATCCATACTGTGAATGCTGTTAGACATTTGTTGGAGATGACCTCATTTTCTTACATTTCGCACCTGTCCTGATTGTCATGGGGGAATAAATTCAGGACCTTGACTTATAACAATAAAGGGGAGAAATAACTTCAAGAATAGTTGGATTTATTAATAAATAAATATTATTTTATATAATAAATTTAAAATTTAAGTTTTAGAATCAATTTTAAAAGAATTAATTTTTTTAAATGTACAAAACTGATATATGAAATGCACTCTCAAGATTGTCCTATAAGAAATTAATCTTTAGAGTTTGTAGATATTAATCTAAAAACACTATAATAGTAAATATCTAAAAAAAAAAGAGTGGAGAGTAGTTCCCCAGCTACATGGTTCCATAGTGCAATAATTCTTAGGGGTAAGCATGGAGTATAGGTATATCTATTATTTACAAATATTTTACATGTTTGGGTAAATACTATATTTGAATTGTAGAAAAAAAAAAAAGGTAAGTAAATGGGTATAAAAATAACATATTTATAAGTATAAAATCAAGTAATAAATATAAGAGTTCATAATTGTTTACTCCACTTATTTAACTAACTTGTATAATTGATTTGTTATTTGTACTTGTACAATTAAAAATTACATGCACTTATTATACTTAATATTTATATAATAA